AAAATAAAACTATATAGAAGTAGTATTTATTATGAGATGGATTTGAGATCCCACCTTCACGGCTTCATCTTTCTATTAGGTTGACTAAAAATATTAGAGGTGGAACCGGGAACTTTAATTTTAATGGTTGGATCTCAAACTTTAAGTGTTTGATGAAGTGGTCGGAACTTTAAATTTTATTATTATTGTAAACTTCACAAAAAGTGATCTGATGATTACGTGCCTTATTTGAGGAAGTAGACTGTTCACCCAGTCTGGGATCGAATTCCCAATCGCTAACAATTAATTCACACTAACTTCTTAACCATTACCCTGAGGATCGAATCCTCAGTCGCTAACAACTAATTCATACTAACTTTTAACTATTACTCTTATTAAAAATATATATATATTAGAGGTGAAAAGGGCAAATTAGTTTTATACGTTTGGTATAAATTTAACGGTTAATAATAATTAATAATTTATATATTTTGATTTATTAATTTAAATAAAGTCATTAATGGTCAATTTTAAACTGTTATAACAAATAACTTTTAAACCTAAAAATGAGTCCTTATACTCTCTCGTAGTGGCAAATTAAACAAAAATGATTTTCAAAATATTTGTAAAGGAAGCCTCTCAACCATGAAAAGTCTTCTGTATCAAGAGGATACATATCCTCTCCCAGTCAAGACGTCCTAACTTAGCAATTGAATTAAGATTTAGATTATTATTAATTATATAATCTAATATTAGAGTTACTTATATTTGTAAAAGAAACCTCTCAATTATGAAAAAAATCTTTTGTATCAAAAGGATACATATCCTCTTTTAGTCTAGACATCCCAACTTAGCAGTGTAATTAAGATTTAAATTATTATTAATTATGAAAAAATGATTTTGAGATAACTTTTTTTATTATCTTTCGATATAATCTGATATATTATTTAAATGATTAATTTTTTTATTTATATGAGACCCGTGACATTAAATACATTTACTCATTTAATAACATATAAAAATTATATTAAAAAGTAGTATAAAAAGTTATATTTATAGCACTAACCTTAATTATGTAATTTGATGGTCCAATTATTTATATTTTTAATTATAAATTTAAAGTTAATTGTTAATTTTTATGTATTAAAAAATTGAGATTAGATCCTTATTGAGTTGACAAATTTTGATTACTTAAAATTAAGTAATACATAATTCCTTCCTTACATAATCTAATCAATTTTTTCATTATTTTTTTATTAATATTTTGATATTTAAAAATTATATTAAATCATAACTAATTCAAAATCAAATCGAGTCAAATCCTATATAGAAAAACTCTCATAATATTTATTTCTTCTTTTATAAAATTCAAATTCAAAATTTTATTTTAAAAAATTGAATTCATTCTTTTCACGAAGAATTGAGCCTCTTATATTCGTAACTAAGTTGGTATCAATTTCTCCATTATAGATATACTACATATAAAACGTTTAAAGCATTTCCATTGCGATGGGGTAGCAAACATTCCAAAAATAATAATGGTGCTGGTGCTATTGTTATTGTTATTCACACGTGCTTCATGCACTTTTCTACACGTGTTTCACACACTTTTCTTTCTTTATCCATTACTTCTCTAGAGCTAGAAATTCGAGTCCCAGCTATAAAGCCATGAGTCCTGGTTCGTCATCTCCCACCTTATCTCCTCCACCACTTTCAATTTTCTGTTTTCCATCTTTTTGGGGTAACCATAACAAAGTTGTAAGAAACAAAGAATTCCATTTCCTAAATCCACAACCCAAAAACAGAAGTACTCTCTAGCTTCTTCTTCATGGCTCGTGAAATTGAAGATGTTAGATACGATGAGGTAATTAGTTGAATTTTAATTCTGTTTTCTGAACTTAATTTCCTGATACGTGTAAGATTTCTGATTCTGTATATTCAAATAAATCATAATAAACACAGGATTTCATCCTGAATTCTAGAGGATTGAAGCTTTTCGCATGCAAATGGGTCCCCCTAAAGCGAGAACCAAAAGCCTTGATCTTCATCTGCCATGGCTACGCCATGGAGTGCAGCATCACCATGGAAAGTAAGCAGTGTCTTCCTTAATTAAAATTAATTACACCTAATTATAGTTTATTATATATGTAACTGACTTGGATTAACTAATTAATTCAGGCACGGCGCTCAGGCTAGCCAGAGCAGGATTTGCAGTGTACGGCATGGATTATGAAGGCCATGGAAAATCGGCTGGGCTCGCCGGCTACGTCAGTAGCTTCGACGCCGTCGTCGACGACTGCTCCGAACATTACACAAACATATGTGGTAATTACTTTCATCTAAATCTTCTCTTTTACCATGATTAAGATATATTGAATCTGAAACTAATGCATCTTAATTATTTTAAATTTCAGAAAAGGAAGAGAACAAAGGAAAAATGAGATTTTTGTTGGGGGAGTCCATGGGTGGAGGAGTGGCTCTGCTCTTGCACAGGAAAAAGCCGGACTTCTGGGACGGCGCAGTTTTGGTGGCTCCCATGTGTAGGGTACGTGCCCTTAACTTTGCCCTCATGCCCTTTGAAGTGGGAACCCCTTTGGGTCCTACCATCCCTCTAAATTTGGATCTGTACCTTTAATTTAATTGCCTGTTTTGGAAGAAAGGAAAAAAAAAGAAAAAACTGAATTCCAAATGAGTTAATTGTTTTGTATGAAAAAAATGAACTACAAAATTTATTGAGAATGTGGAAACTGTATTTGATAATAATATTTTATACAAAATTTGTTTATATATAGTTACATAAACATAATTGCAATAATGCATTTAGATCCTAGAACTCTGCCTAAAAGTATGTAGATACTTTCCCTTTTTCTTTACCGGTTGTTTCCTTAGTTGGCCGATATTCTATTCTTTACTTTTTAATTTTGTATTTGATTCAACTTCCTTCACATTTCAATCTTGTAAAACTTAAAATAGGCACCTTTAGGTAAGAAAGATCTTTAATATTAAAAAGGCTATTTTTCATCTAAGAAAATATATTCTATAGTTTAGTTTAAATCACAAAATATTTTTTTATTTTAAATTTACAATGATTTAGGTAAGATAATTCATGTAAATTAATTGCAATAGTTTGCACCATTAAATTTAATTTTAAAGTATGTAAAAATTAAGATTTCTTGACATTAATAATATTAAAATATCTAATTATAATCAAGAACGTCCTTATGGTCTAATAGTCACATTTCTTTATAAGGGACTTCTCATGTACGTGACTTGACGATGTAAAATTCAAATTTTACTCTCAATGTTCAAGAAAAAAAATATATATATCTAATTATAATCATAAAATTACAAAATATAAATTAAATCTAATTCAATATGTAGTTAAAATCAGAAAGATTATTTTTTTTACTTTTTTATTATTTTTATCCTATATTATTCTATATAACACATCTTATAATAGTTTATATAATTAAAATTTAAAAATGATTCACTTACAATATTTTTTTAGTGGTCACATCTTACAGTTTTCAAGTATTTTCTCTAATCAAATCCTGATACATGAACTCAGTTGCATAAAATAATTGGCAATAATCAAGTTGCTTGTCAACATATTAGGTATAAGTCAACTAAAATCCGGACAAATGAAGCCAAGAAATTAATAACACTATTTTACGTTAAATCAATTATTAATGTGTTATTAATTTCTTTGTGTACAGATTGCAGACGAAATGAAGCCACATCCACTTGTTATAAGTGTTTTGACAAAGCTTTGCAACTACATTCCAACTTGGAAATTAATCCCTGGTCAAGACATTGTTGATGTCGCCTTTAAAGACCCTGAAGTGAGGGAAAAAGTGAGTTACATACTACGAATTTATAATGGGGTTATCCGGTTATAGTAACTCTATAAAATTATTCAAATATATTCATTAATGCTAACGAGAATGCCTAATTTACAGATTAGATCAAACCCATATTGCTACAAAGGACGTCTTCGCCTGAAAACAGGGAATGAAATTCTCAGGGTCAGCAATGACCTAGAAAAAAGACTCAATGAGGTATGTGTAATTCCCCTTCAATTTTGTTACGTACTTCCTCTTAATCAGTCATGGCATAATTGAATCAATATTCCTAGTAAATCCCAACTCTTTTGAAATCTTCTCAGGTTTCTCTGCCGTTTATGGTCCTACATGGTGAAGATGACAAGGTGACCGACAAGAATGTGAGCCAACAACTGTACAATGTGGCATCGAGTACAGACAAGACCTTCAAGCTCTATCCTGGGATGTGGCATGGCTTGCTCTACGGAGAGCCGCTCAACAACATCAACATTGTATTTTCAGACATCATCGGATGGTTAGAAAACAGAGTTTCCTTCGGGAACTTGAGGTTGGAGAGAGAATTGAAGCTTCATAACGATGATTTAAACTTGAAATTGATGGAGAAAGAAGAGATCATTAGTTAATATTTTGCACTCTGAAAGTGCATTTTCTCCAATTAGATGTGAATGAACAAAACCTACCCAGAATATGAAAATTTATCCTGTAATATTCAATTATATATAAATATAGTTTGTTCCTTCAATCCTTTCTAAACAATATCCTACACAACTAAAAAGAATTATTTAATTTAAAAATAATAATTAATATTATCATGGTGTTACAAGTTATTCAAAACTTTTAAAATGGTCAAAATCAGTTATTATTGTTTATTATAATAAACTGATTCATAACATCATTTATTTATAAAGTAAAATAATTAAAAAAAAAAGAAGAAGAAAAAAGTATGTACCTATCCCAACTTGGGCACAAAAGTCAGGCAAATAAATCTCTTTCGGTTCAAATTATTAAATAACATGACCTATCTCTGCCACAAAAATCAAAATTACGAAGAGGAGAAAAGAATGCTTGCATAATGATGTATGTCATCTTCTTTTGACCCTTCAAATATAATAATATAAACAGCCTTTTCACTTGATCAATTCTCAGATTAATTTAGGTTCACACAACAAACTTTCAGTTCTTTGGAGGGATATTTGCCTATTAGGACCTCATCTTGGAGAGAACAATTAATTATACACCACCGCCCTTCACCTTTAACACCTCTCGCTCCACATAACATTCTTTAATTAGATTTTTTTAAAAACATTTTTTTTAGTATATTTGAAATTAAGAATTCCTAATTATCCTTCTCCATTAACTTAATTAGTAATTAATTAACTAGCTAATATTTTTTTCCATGTTTAAATTTTTACAACCTTACATCCTTCCTCTATATAAATAGATATATCATTTTACACATCTTTATACACATTTGCCAGAAGAAGTTCCTGCCCTAAACTTCTTCATGGTAATTTTCTCTTTATTCTTTTCCCATTTGCAATGTTCCCTACGAAGTATTGTGTTTTCTTTCTAATAATTTTCCTTTTTTTTCTTTTTTTTTTTCTTTTTTCTCTTACAGGCAAATGAGATTGAAGAATATGTTAAATATGACGAGGTAAGATTAATCAGTTTATATCTTTTATGACGTTTCTTGATTTATGATTGTGATTTTGGATAATTAATCATGATATATATTACTCTTTTTACAGCAATTTATCACAAATTGTCGAGGAATGAGGCTCTTTACATGTCAATGGACTCCAATAAAGGAAGAACCAAAAGCATTGATCTTCATATGCCATGGTTACGCCATGGAATGCAGCATCACCATGAAAAGTATGTATGTATATATGTATGTATGTATGTATTATTATTATTATTTGCAACGAAAAACATGAAAAGTATGTATTATCATCATCAACACTTTGCAATAATCGTCTTCATTTTAATCCAAGAACTTGTTTTTCCCAATAAAGGGTTATGGAAATTAATCATTCAAGGCTAACAAGGGGCCTTGTTTGTTGAATTAGGTACTGCAATTCGGCTTGCAGAAGCAGGTTTTGCAGTTTATGGTATAGATTATGAAGGCCATGGAAAATCAAGCGGATGCACTGCTTTTGTAGATAATTTTGATCATATTGTGCATGATTGCTCTAATCATTTCACAAGTATATGTGGTGAGTTTTGCATTCTCTCTCCATAAAAAATATAACCCCAAAGAAAAAAAAATTATATATATTCAACTTACAACTCAATCTCTGTTTATTCAGAGAGGGAGGAGTACCGAAGGAAGATGAGATATTTGCTGGGAGAGTCCATGGGAGGAGCAGTGGCTCTGCTCCTGCACAGAATGAAGCCAGAGTTTTGGGATGGTGCAGTTCTGTCTGCACCCATGTGCAAGGTTTGTTCACAATTCTTTTTAATTAATTTCCGTCTAATCTACCCAACAATTATCTTTTTAAAAATTATTCCTTCTCAATTTTTAGATACGTGTAATTTCAACCTTTAACTCATTAAAAAACTAAAAACCAACTTCTTGAAAGAGTTACAGTCGTATTTAAGAAAATTAGGTTTGGCGTAACTTCGATTTGATTTATAGATTTAAGAACTTGTAATGACACTTGTTGACATCAGTACTGAAATTTTAATGGATTTGGCTGGCTTGTGTTACCTACCATGCATGACGATGATTTAAACTAAACTTTGATCATTTTCATTTATTTAATTATTGATCTTATATCATCAGCAAGCAATGTTGAAAGAAAGAAATTAAGGGAGTAATTAATTAGAATAATAACTTCTCATTACTTCTTTCGGCTGTTAAAATGTCAAAATGACAGATTGCAGATGATATGAAGCCACCTCTACCAGCTATTCTTCTTATGAAAGCAGTTTGCAAGGTGGTTCCAACTTGGAAAGCAGTAGTGATGCACCAAGATATTGTTAAGATCGCCTTCAAGGAAGAAAAAATAAGACACCAGGTGAAAATAAATGATATCATAAGCTGCTCTTAAACTGCTAGAGTTTCTGGAAATTAAGTCTCAAGTTTGAATCTTTTGTTTCAAGTAATTTTTGCTGATATTTTCTTGGTAAACAGGTTAGAGAAAACCAGTATTGCTACAAAGGGGCGCCTAGATTGAAGACCTGTTACGAGCTTCTGAGGGTTAGCAGCAACCTGGAGGAGAGCCTTCAAGATGTTACATTCCCATTTTTAGTTCTTCATGGTGGGGAGGACAGGGTGACAGACAAACAGGCCAGCCAAAAGCTTTACGATGTGGCCTCGAGCTCGGACAAGACTTTGAAACTGTATCCCGGAATGTGGCACGGTCTGCTGTATGGAGAGCCATTAGAGAACACCGATGTTGTTTTCAAGGACATTATTGGTTGGTTGGAGGAAAGAACCGCCCTTGGAAATTCAAGGTTAGAGGAGGAACAAAAACTTAGAAATGATGAGTCGTTAAAACAAGAAGAAACTACTCCTCCGACCATTTGACTCCTGCAGAACTTCGAATCCTGTCCGAAGCCGAAAAGCTATGTCATTGAGTTCAATTTAGCCCAATCTAATTGGAAGTCAGCAAAACGGATGAAAGCCTCAACACCCTCTTTTTGGTTTTTTAATATCCAACCTGTTCATTGTCGTCTGACATGGTTCATATTCAATTTCTACCATTATAGATCAATTCTAATCTAACAATAATGAACATAAAATCCACAAGAATCAGTTAAGTACTACAACAACAGTAAATGCCATATCTGAGACACAAATGGTAGCTTCTGCCTCTAATACAATTAGCTCATTCAAACTTGAAAATCAAAATGCTTGATTGCTCTGCCCAGGGACCAATATGCTTTTACTTTTCTTACTGACCTGATATAGCCTCCAACCAGAGCTCACGCTAGTAAATCCAGGATCTACAACCTACATTAATAGGAAATAGAAGAGTGGGGTGCCCAACAAGTAGGGAAGGACACCCTTTAAATTGATACCTCAGATAATCTTATTTCTGACTTCTTCAAGTTTCTTCAGTATTTCTCCAGGAGTCCTATCCAATTCATCAGCAATTTTCCTTTGCAAATCCATAGGCAGTGTAGGGAACTGTTCACACAAATCCCCATCAATCACATCCTGCAAAACAGTTACAAACATTCAGCACCATTAATAAAACAGGGAACTATGGTTGCCACGGACAAAAGACACCTCTTAGCTCACTGTCTGCCTCAAGTTCAGTCAATTGTATGACCATGCATGCTTCAAAGGCAATTAGAGAGGCCGTAGAAGCTGACTGAACAATGTTCCTTAAACAAATCATTAACACTTTTGTAGCAGCAACAAATTGCTGCTTGCTTGTGTATAGACAATTATTACAGTGATTAATAACAAGAATACAAAAAAAGGGCCAAGATGAATAATTAAATCACTATGGGAAATAAATAAAGCATGATATTTACCTTCACGGGAAAATAAGCAGATCTGTAAGCCATATGATCTCGTCCACACAATGGTGGGTGTTCCTGCCTCATATGCATCTCTAGGTGGGAAAAGAAGTCAACATCATCACGGGAAGTGAATGGAAGCAATGCCCCCACACTCCCCATAACTGTCCCATAAATAAGACACTCTCCACCACCCGGTATCAAAGATGCCTTCTGCAAGCAAGTGGCTACATCCCCAATATGAAACTGAACTATTTCCTCCATCTTGTTGGGTGCTCCATTAAGCTTCCCCTGCTCCCATTTTATCTTCCCACCTGTTGGATCTTCTTCTATCTCATCCGAAACATCCTGTGGTAGACGCACAAAATAAACATTCCCAAACTTGTCTACACCAGCCATGGTATCAAAATCTATATGGTATGATGCAGTAAGCCATCTTGGAACAACATCATCAGCAAATATATAGAGCTGATTCTCATCCCTCCTATACTTGCAAAAATGGAATGACTGCAAAGAAGCACCAGAACAATTACATTAGTGCAAGAGCAAGAGTTTTTTAAAAATAAAAGAAATTTGAAGGAAATCCTTCAAATCTCTGTGCACAATTCTCATTAAACAAAAACAATAATCATAAAATACAAACAAACATGAAATGACAGAATGATTGGGTTTCTTAATAAAATATCCACTGACTGAACTCCGGAGATGAGGATAACTGGCGGATAGTAGGCCATAGTGGGGAATAGCAATGCTTCACACAACTAAATTGTACCAAGTATTCTCTACATGACAGAACTCAGAAACTCGCATCAGGAATATGTACCAATAAACTTTGAAATTATTTGATATAATGTCAACAGCCTAGGCTATCCAACTAATAGATCTTCTTTTCCTAACTTCAACCAATCTCCCAGCCAAATTGGTTGGGTTGTGGTTTCTCAGTCATAGTGTCCAACGTTCAAACTGCTCTATGAATAAGCCTAAAATTAAGTTACAAGCATTAAAAGACATGCACACACACTGCACTCAAAGATGAATACAAAGTTCTGAAAACAACATAAAAATAAACTTCTAGAAAGACGTACCTCCTGAATGTCACCAACATATATCCTATCACGATATGTTTGAATAGAGATAATAGAGTTAGGGAACAGCTTATTCTCGCATTTTCTAAGCAATCTTTTTTTGCCCAAGTCATACAGCTTGAGCACAGACCCTATGCCAGCAAGTAATCTTCCCTGAAACTGGCATAATGCTAGAGGAACGCCTTCTACTTGTGTCTTGTGCAGAAGTTCAAGTGATCTCCCTTCATCAACAAACCTGTAAATATGAATAAATCCTGCAGCTAAACTTCTTTTGGGAGAAAACTGCAGCCCCTTGGCAGTGCCTACAGCCAGGAGGGTTCCATACTCCTTATCATGAAAATTCACAGTGCAGATACTGAAAGCAGCTTCATTGTCTTGAAGCTCCAGAAGACAAGTTGTAGCAGCTGTCCTTGGATCAAGAACTCGGATGCAAGAAACCCACTTGTCTGACTCTGCCTTTGGATAACCATACTGCTCATCAGAGAGAGGGTCATCTTTATCCTCATCATCACCACCATTCTCCATTTGCTCCACGTTACCATTTCCACTCCCCTCAAAGCACTCCTTTCTTGCGGCTTCACGCTCTTCTGCAGTGAATGATCCCTGGTCACTCTCAATGATTACCAGCAATTTTCTCTTGGGTTGAAGAACAAACTTCCTTGGGGTGTACCTCAAAGGGATTGCAGTCTCATTAAATGTTTCTCCAAGACGCTCAATGGTGAAAACCCTCAATGCATCCCCAGCAACAGCAACAACACCCTCAGCACACTGATCAGATGAAAATGATGCAGCAAATTCAAGAGTCTCATAAGAAAGTGGTGTCAAAAGAAAATGTCCTTGGTGAATGTAACCAAGCCATGGTCGACTGGACAAGCAAAGCATTGCAGGCCGGCCTCTCACAATAATAGAGAACAACTTTGGGGGTCTCAACCCTAAGAATCGTGACCGGGAATCAGAAAGCTGGCCTGTTACCATATCCACCACAGTCCGGAACAGAACTCCATTCTGCAAACCTGCATTAAGGAAAAGGCTGGCAGGATGATCAGCACCATCCTCCCCCCCAACTGATGCCTGAACTTCAAGGAAAAGAAGAGATTCTGGAGGTGAAGAAACACTTTGAACACTGAGAACTTGCATACAATCATCAGGATCCAAAGACAGTATACGGATTGTGTTATCATATGAACCAACTGCAAGAAAACGGGACCTCTGTCTCCCTTCAGGAACAGGTGCAATGTCCAAACAAGCCACATCTCCAGATATTTCATGCTTGTCGACCTCCATCAGCTGCCCAGTAATATCCACCTCAAAGTATATAAGCTCACCTCCACTTAATGCAATCACTACTTGAAGCCTATTGGAGCCAACCTTAACAATAGTCCTTTTTCCAGGAGTTCTCCACTCATTAACACGCCCGTCTTCCCTTATATGCCTGATACCATCGGGATGAACTTGCATTAGAGAGTCATCACCTATCAATGAAACAGCAAGAGAAGGGGTGGTATCTAAAAACCCGCTATCGCTAACTTCTTCAACAGTTTCACCAATAGAAAGCACAAGAGTTGCATTGACAAAAGACACAACAATGTAGGCATCAAACTCATCATTAACATTCTTTTTCACAGTCCACACAGCACTTGGGACTCCAGGAAGCTGCGAAACAGCCATCTCACTGATGGCCAAACCAGGCCTTAATATCCTCAGAGATGAACGGGGACCACGTCCACATAGGGAAAATATCTGAGGGGTTTCTTCTTCAAATAGATTAATGATTTTCATGTCCATTATTGGCATCAAGCTCTCCATTTGGTCAATCCTGACAAGGTTCTTAAGTCCTCTAGGCTGAAAAAATACTGGCTGGAAACCTTCTTCAGTTTCCATCAATGTGGCTGATGAAGACTCAATATCTGGCTCCTCCCCAATAGCTTGGAACTGATACAAGCCATGATTGCCAAATTCTGATGCCGCAAACAGAAACCCAGATTTCAACACACACATTGAAGCTGTGACAGGAATTGTATCAAAATACTTAATCTTCAATTCTGTCACACGATCATTGTCATGCTCCAAAGTAACCTTAAAAACATCCCCGTACTCAGTCTGCAAAAGAAAGAAGAACATGGACTTCTGCTTATGGGTGGCAGCTGAAACAATAAGAACCCCACGCTCTGCAGGCAAATCAGCCCGCCTAGGAATAACTGCCCTCACATCAGGATGCCCCTGGTTCTTATAAATCACAAAATTCTCAGCACAAACTAAAACCCCACTAGGCCCATCCCCTCCTCCAGGTACATTAACCAACATATTAGCCCCATTATCAACTGGCTCTGACCACTTCCTAGACACATGGTTGAGCCCTAAATCAAGCTCATAAAAAGTTAGATGCTTTTGAGCCTCACTAGCCGCCTGCCCAGTTGAATCCTGATCTGCCTCTGAGTAATCCAACTCAATTGCCGCAAAAATGGGGTTATCAAACCCGCAGTCGACACCACAAATGGAGTAACATACTGTATGTGACTTGTGAGCCTCCAAGGGAGACGAAATCGTCAACCTAGCTGCAGTATCTCTATTCAAAACATAAACTAACTTCTGCTTCTCACAAGCGCCAATCATTACAGCCCTACCTTTAGGGTCAACAGCAAGGTACTGACCTGGGACGATGCGGCGGCACCCTGATTTCCCGAAAGTTTCTTGGTGAATTTTATCGAAAACATTCTTCTCTTTGTTGTAGTCGAGGATAACAATCCGACCAGAATCTGAACCAACGACTATGTAATCCTTCTGGGCACCAGTTAAGCGGAACTGGGCTATGGATCGTATAGCGCCGAAGATTTCAACAGAGTGAAGTGTTTGTAGCTTACCATTCTCGTCAGGCCGGAGCAGGGAGAGAATCTTGCCGCGAGCGACGACAATTTCCTGGGCCTTGCCGCCCGAAAAGTTGCCGTTGATGGCAGCTATGATGCCGGTGGCCTGTTGAAGAGTGAGACTGTAGAGGTACATGGTGATGGTTGTGCAGCTAGGGTAAGGGTTTTGGAGGTTTCTGGGAGAGGTTTAGAGGAATTTGAGGTTTAGGATTTGGAGGATTTTGATCTTCAAGGGATCACCATATCTTGCTAAGAGGTGTAACGGGATGTGAAGATAAGGACAGTGTTAGAGAAACGGGATCCTGAACATAAACCCTAACCCTAAATTGAAGACAACGCCATGGCAACATAGATTTGAAGATTTTTTTAATGTCCAGAAACATGCGAGAGAAAAGTAACATTTCACTTTTTGTTAGGCCATGGGCTTTTTAACAAGGCAGAGTTTGGGTCCTTCCTAGTTGTTTATGGGCTAGATTTGGGCTCTGCATATGTACATCTTGTTAAAAAGCCCATAACCTAACAAAAAGATACAAATACATTTTTTTATTTTAAACCTAATGTCTAGTGTATCTTGTACAAATTATATATCTTATAATTATTAATAATTAATGTAAAATGATTCCTTAATATTGAGATGATCCATCTTCTGTTAATTATTATATAATGTGTAGTCCATCAAAACAACAATCTTATTTTTTAATTGATCACAATAAAATTTTTTTTTTTTATCTTGGTTATATAATGAGAGACAATTATCTATTATCTTTTCTCACATCCCATCCGCATGTCATGCAACTCAAAATCAGAATCTCTAACTTCTAATTAAAAGAAATAAATACTAAATTGTTTAAATTTTCAACACAATAAAAGGGATTCAGTGCCATAGAATGTAACATCTTTTTTTTTTTTTTACGGTGTCTGTCAACTTCCTTATTTCTCATTCATGTCATCATATGAGAATTAGGCGAACCTACCTCTACCCCTACTCCATATCATCAGCTCCACTTCTGTTTGTATACTCTTAAAACTATATATATTATGCCATGTAAGACTCCCCATCAACACAAACAACATAGACTTTCAGTTTGAGAATCCCCAAATGGCCAAAAGGGTCATCCTCTGCCTCCTCTTCCTAGCAGCCATCTCCTCATGGGCCAACTCAGCTAGAGTCCTTGATGAGGTGGAACATCAGCCACAAGTCAAATCCTTGCCGCGTGGTCATATCCCGGCTGTGGGCTCCACTGCCACGGCGGAAGATGATGCGGCTGAGGCTCCTGCTGATGTGGCCGCACCAGATGATGATGTAGGTGCTGTCCCTGTGGCTACCCCTGCAGCACCTGTGGATGATGATGTGGCACAGCCGCAACAGTGGCTGCCCCAGCTGCCACGGCTGCAAGTGCCACCGTAGCAAAGCCTGGTGCTGGTGACGCCACACTGTCCTTTTTCATGCATGATATCTTGGATGGGTCCCATCCATCCGCCAGGGTGGTCACTGGGGTCGTGGCCAACTCAGAGGTCAGCCCAATTCCTTTCTCAAAGCCCAACGACAACCTTTTTCCGCTCCAAGGCGGCACCCCCCTCCTCACCGGCAATGTTAACAACATTAAAGCCATAAACAACCTCATCAACAACCCCAACAGCGTGCCTTTCCTCACCGGCCTCACCGCCGCCCAAAGCAGCACCATAATTGCCAACACCGGCGACAACAACAACGTTCTCAGCAACCAGAACCAACCTTTCGTCACCGCTGGCCAACTCCCCACCGGCTCACTTCAGCGCCTCATGTTTTGAACCATCACCGTCATCGACGATGAATTGACAGAAGGCCACGAATTGGGTTCAGCCGTGATCGGAAAAGCACAGGGGTTTTACTTGGCTAGCTCCATTGACGGTACCAGCCCGACGATTGCACTGACTGTCCTGTTGCACAGCGGTGAACACGACCGTGAAATTGACGACACCATCAGTTTCTTCGGGGTTCACAGGACGGCGACTCCGGAATCGCAGTTTGCAGTGGTGGGTGGGACTGGAAAGTACGAGAATGCTGGAGGGTACGCGACGGTTGAGACAATTCATCAAGAAGATCAACACACAACGGACGGTGTGGATACCATTCTCAACTCTAACGTTTTCCTTACTGAGTAAATTGGACCGTCTGCTTCTTCATGAGTGATGAATATGTTGTAGCAGTGTTAGTGTGAATTTGATCATGTAATTTAAGCTGAAACAAAGTCTCTGTTTCTGGAATTATATTATATATATAAGTTGTAATTTTTGCAATAAACTTTTTTGTTTTGCAGTGGAGATATAGAGGAAGACAAAAATGTTTGGGGCATTCCGAGAATTGAACTCGGGACCTCTCGCACCCTAAGCGAGAATCATACCACTAGACCAAATGCCCATAATTGGTCTTTTTTTCCATAAAAACTAAATTAGTTGATTAACCAGAACTTCGTGACTTGAGGGATACTGAATCTCTAATTATGGTTCTTCATCCACATACATTACTCAATCTGGGAGATTCCTGAAAACAAAAGCCGTTTCCCTACTTATGCTGCTATGGATCCAGATTCTAATCAAAGTAAGGGGGAGTGGAATTGGAGTTGGAAATTGTTGTGTCCCCAGAAATTTAACAATCTTGTTTGCATTGCGTCTCAGGATCGCCACCACAAGAGTCACCTTCATTGGAGGACTCAAATTATCGTTGAAACGTCGGCGGGCCCTCGTTCTGGCCCTATTGATGAAACTGCACTGCATGTCTTAACAGATTGCAGTAAGGCCAAGGTTGTTTGCTTGTGCTTACAACATACTTTATGTTTATAAACTTCTTCCATTATTGGAGATTGTCTGCTTTTTTATATGAGTCGGAAGCAACTTGAATTTGTGAGTTAATTTTTTTTTTTTTCATCTGTTTTGGTTTTCCGAAACCCTTTTCAATTTTGTTCTCAAATCCTTTCAAGATCAATCGATAATTGGGATCAAAAATGGAAAAATGCAGGCTGCTTTGAATTGCATGGTAGAAATAGTAATACATACTACAACAATATGATATGACCCACACCTCACTGGTACAAATCTGACTTTCCCAAAACTTTTTCTATCTACACTTATCTGTCACCCTCTTGAATGCCAAAATCAGTGACATGGGGAAAAGTGGAAAAGAGGAAGAAACAAGACAATCATTCGAAACTCTCCTCGCCAACAACCTCTGCTGCTAGTTCATCAATCAAAGAATTCTCTATTTCCCTAGTAATTACTACGATATCGTTGCCCAATACTAACCAACCATCATCATTTCCCAGCAGTTTCTGAGATTCCTTACTTGCTTCCTTTTCCTGGTTAACCAGCAATGTCCACAGCTCTTCCTCAATCACTTCCCATCTCTGCCTAAAGCAAACCAGTGGTTTTGCCTTCATAGGTATACCCCGGCATGTCTGGAGAATATCCACCAAGCCCAAGTTTATACGGTCAAACAAGAGCTTTCTTTCTGATCTCTTCCAAGATGCCTGCTCAGCATACTTCTTCTCTACTGTGTCAAAGACCGTAGGGCTTATTGGGTATTCTGGAGAATGCCATACTTCAAAACCAATATGGTTACTATTGCAGAAACCTGCCTCAGTCAAGACATCAACAATATAGGAGAAATCCCTGCTCTCTTCAACTCTGAATAATACCAGTGGATCTTCATTTTCCTTGGAGCCCCCTAATGATTCTTCTGAATCATCATCGTTTGACACAATCATGCCAGGTCCTTCTGAGTCTTCTTCCAAAGATTTTGATTTCAGGATTTCAAGTTGCAGCCTCAAACCTAATAAAAACGAATGCAAAAGAAGTTAGCCTTGTAAAATTGAGTAAAATAATCACAAGAATAAACCAGTTCTTCTGGCTCACTAACCACGTAACCCAGCATCAATGCTCTTAGAGAAATCTGAACAAGATGATATCTCATCCTCAAATGTCTCCAAAACTGAAACTGGACTGAGCTGTGCCTCTGAGTTCACAAGAGAATTATGATCTGCAATTGAGTAATGTGAAGAAACAGAACCCTCTTCAGAAACCTCAATCAATTCACTCCCCTGCAATATCATGATTCAAATAAGAGAGAAATTGAGAAAAAGTAATTGACACTTTTAAGCCAAGGACTAGCCCCAAGCTGCAGCATTATAGAAAAAACACATTCGGTATAAGGAACAACCATTTTAGATCATATAGAATATCCAATAACCAATATTCATACGTTTTAGACTTAGTGAAACCTTTTATTTTCACCTATCCAATAATCCAACCATAGTTGTACTCCCTGCACCCCAACCCACACTCTGAAATTACCTTGGATAATAATAATAATAATAATAATAATAAGTGGGGGAGAATATAAGAAAATAGCACCATACCTGTTGACTTGAAGTTTCCAGGACATAAGAATTGTGCTCGTTATGATTTCTGGAAGACTTATCCGCAACCATGTTTTCATCAGCCACCTTATCAGAAACCATATGCCCAGAGGCACAATTACTTATGAATGACTTAGATACCACAGAATTCTGCTCGGACAGATTTCCATCCTTGATTTTGTTCTTTTGATCCTTATGCATTAGCCAAGCTTCTTGTGTGGCATGATTAGAAGAGAAAAGAACATCATGCCTTGATAACTCAGAGACCACTGAATTTTGTCCAGATAGATCGGTCTTCTCAATGCTGTTCTTCACCTTGTTCTGGATGACATAGTTTCCATCAATCAAGTGCTTATTTTCTGGTTCCAAATAAGGAACCCCTTGAGACTCCATGCAGCTGGATCCTGAGTTTCTAGTTTTCAAGCAATTTTTAGCACTAAAATTTTGCTTTCTTATATTCTGACTCCCCCAGTTAATGGCAAACCTTGGTGTAGTGGTCAAGCACAGATTGTCATGCCTATGCAAGTACCTATATTTATCATTGGGGTTGATTCTGTTGCCCAATCTCTGCTCACCCAGCTTATCATATGAGTGTTCTGGGTTAGATTCACAGTCTGACATTGCAAGCATCTCACCAAAGGTTCTGCTTCTGCCCCTATTCCCACTGTCCAGTCCATCTTGAAACTCTTTAGTCACCCTCCATCTTTCTGAGATTTGCTTCTTTGCCTTCTCAGCCATATATGACCTGCCTGGGTAGTAAATTGAGGACCTGTAGCAGTTCTTCACATCAGAGAATTTTTTGGAAGAAAACATCATCATCTCCGACCGTTTTGCATGATTGTCAACACCTCTAAATCCTGAACTACTAGACCATTTCCGCACAGTTTTCATGTCATTGGCCAAGTTCTTTCCTTTATCATGACAATGCAACGCTTTACCTTTCCTATCACCAAAATGAAAATCATGAAAAGAGGTAGACAAAGGAGAAAACTTTGCAGCATTCTCTGCCTTCCCAGGGTTTGGTTTCAAAACAACGATCTTCCTATTGGAAGGGAATGCTTCAAAATTTGATTTCAATTTTGGAACCACAGAAAAATAATCAAGTTCATGAGGCCATGACTGAGTGTTTACACGACCAGAAGCACATGATAACATTGAGTTTGAGAAACCAACACATCCTGATGGCAAGCCAGCGAGGGTAACTTGAACATTGTTTTGAAAATAATCCTCTTTTGAATCCATAATTCCTCCTCCAGATTCTCCATTACAAAATTCTTTTGGAGTTTGAAGCTCCA